CACATGAATCTAGAAAATTCTGTTTCTTTACCTTAAAAGCTACCATTTCATGCTATCTGAACTCTACCTTGGATACACAAGTTCCTGTATATTTATATAAACATACATAGAGAAGATAGTTTGAAATTAGGGTGATTTACCTTAGAATCATTCTTTGTGATGTAAAAACTATATGCATTTAGTAGGAACCATACTTCAAATTTGACTCTTGACCTTTTCCCAGGTTGATAATATGCAATACATTACTTTCTCAAGGTATGAGGTAGCAAGCCATTTCTCTTAGCAATAAGATCACAAGCTAAAGAGCTGATGATCTCTAGTACACTGTGTGGCCAAGCTATGGTGTTCAGAGGTTAGGTACTTGCAATGCATTTCTGACATATTTTTAACTTACAACGAGTTCACATGGCATACTACCATAGTTACGGAGTGTCTGGATAACCCATTTTGCTCTGTGGTAGGTTTTAATACGTATTTCTGACTGAGTACTTTTTTTTTTTTTTTTTTTTTTTTTACTTTTGTATCATATTGTACTTGAGAAATGTCAAGTCCAGAAAGTTAAAGGAAAAAAGTTGAAGTCTAGGACCACACACTATTTAGTGGCTAAACCAGAGATTAAAATGAGATTTTGGAAGCCTCTGTATATCTGCTTTGTTACAACAGCCCTTGTATGAAGTCTTGAATTATAGGAATTTTTCCAACTTCCTGTGCAAATATCTGAAGAATGTTGAGAATAGAAGACTTATGTTAATCCTAATTTCCTCAAGTAAGTAGTGTCTGCTGGCATCAGGAATACACCATAGAGAATGATTAGGAACCAATGACTCAGTGGTTTAGAATTACATATAATAAAAACTAAACCCATCTTTAAAAGTTGAACACTTACATTAGTATGCAAATAAATACTTTCTCATAAAATTATAAGTTTAAACTTTGTGAAATAAGTTAAATAGGAAATTTGCTTAGATTGTAATGAAACACACTTTGACACACCCTGTTTAATTATTGTACACTGGGGCTCTGAGGACTCACTGAAGACATAAAAATAAAGAATCAAAAATTTTGTGTAGAGACCTTCATCATAGAGCTATAAATGATGAAATCAACAATGTCAAATCATTCTCAAACACTAACACGTAAGATATTAATAACATATTTCTCGATTCACGGTATCATAGGCAACACTTTTCAAGCAACATTGCCTGCAAAAGGAGAAAATCTGCAGTAATATTAAACTGTTGCTTGAAATTCTGAATACTGAAGCTTAGTTCCTTTTCCTCTAGGTTATGAATCTGGTGTGCTTAGTTCTATTTATAGCTAACTCTCTTGCTCCCTAAAGTTTTTATAATAAAACCATCTCTCAGGGTCTTGCCTGAACTCTATCACTGGATTAGCCATGTCCTGATCATTCTGAGTCTGAATAATTCATGTGAACAGGTATTTGATGAATTCTGTAAATAGCCCTCATTCTTTGCCCAGGCTGGGATGGCAAAGGTTGACTCTCAAGAAGCTCAATCAGCATTAGGGGTCTATCAAATTCAAATCATCAATAAATAGAAGAGTTGAAAGGACCAGTCAGAAGGACAAACTAAGACTCTGCATGCATAGGGATGATTAAGACTAAAAAGGAGAGGAGACTTTTAGACAAGGAGAGTTTACCTAGTTTGTACTTGCATATTTAGTAAGGTTTTGAGTGCCTTGAATGCTGGACATGGACATGGGTGTTTGGGTGTTTTCTATAAGATATAGGAGTCACTAATCTTGTGTAGAGACCTTCATCATAATGATGGATAAGCAAGCTTGTCTCTTGAGCAGCTCTGGCAGTAGGAGTGATTGGAGAAATGAGGATAAAAATGTAGAGAGGAGAGTTAAGAGGTCCTTGAAGAGATCTGTAGCTCTGCTATTCATGGCAGCAAGGGCATCATCTAGGAGTTTGTCAGAAATACAGAATTTTAGTCCACTTTCTAGACCCATTAATGTACAGTTTCTTGTTTTAGTGACAGATTCAAAAGATTAACGGATGAAACTTGGTGGTATATTTGCCTAGCCTCATGGTGGCAAGGTTGGAAACCACAGCTCTGAAAGAGGCTGCATCTCAGCACCCTGGGATGGGAGCCCAGTGCTTCACAAGAAAGGCAAAGGGAATGTGAAACTAACACACTAGCTAGGGATAAATTCTGGAAGTAGAGGACAACTCAAAGACTTCTGTTCCCAAGAACAGATGGAAAACAAGAACCTGTTTAGAAAAGAAAGACCCACAAAATGAGCAGGTGAAAATCATTTATGGCCAGAGCTGAGGCATCAGTAGAAACTCCAAAAGACAACTGATGAGGAAGGGAAATTTCTATGGAGCTACCAGAGAGCTATGAGAAAAAGTTGGCTCCATGTGGGAACAGGAGATAGAGCTCACGAGCAACTGTTTGCAGCTATTGCCAAGTAGTCCAACTTGGGGAATAGAGAGGAGGAAATTCCATTTTTATTATATAATGGGAAGATGATCTATAAGTCTGAATGATAAATTTTATGAATAGAGTGACAGAAGACATCAAAAATTAAATCTGTGTTTCTGATCTGCTGAGGGTGGTGCCAACTCATATCAAGATAAATGCACGGAACTTACATCTTGATAAGTAAAACTAGAATATTTCATTCAAGAAAATGTACATAGCTGATACTTGGTGACTTCAGTGTGTGCTCAGTGCTATGCCTTTAAGGATATGTAAAAAGTGTCTTTCAAGAAATTTCTAATAAAGGACATGAATTTATTTATTTATTCTTTATTTTTTGGTAACAGAGATCTAACTCACAACCTTGTGGTTGCCGGGCAAGCTTTTATATCACTGAGCTAAATCTCTGGCCCGAAAACATGATTTTAAATGCTTATAATGTTCACTATGAATCTCATAATACCCTATGGAGTAAGATCCGTTATTATTCCCCTTACACAGATGAGGAAACTGAGGCATACAAAAGCTATTTAGCTTGCAGAAGGACAAAAATCAGTGTCAAGGCCAAACTTGACATGGTAAAGTCACAGCCCATAATCCTCATCACTGTGCCAGAGTGCACACCCTATACACCCACACCTTGATCCTGTGACCAAACCTGTAAAACACTTCTAAGTTTGAATCAGAGATTTGGCTTTTATTTTTCAAAAGCAGTGTATAAGATTGTCCAGTTCCACAAAACTGTGTTTCTAATTTCACACTTTGATTTTATGAATGAAAAATTACCAAAGGGAACTGTTTCATGAAAATGGAAAAATAGCCGCATATATCAGGGTAGAACCAGATCCTGGTCATCTGTTTTAATTAGTGATAATGTTTACAGAAACAATTCATGCCCTCTAATATCTCACGAACTTTATCCTGTACAGCCACGTCAGTGAGTGATCCTCTCATCTAGACCCCAGGTATTTTTAAAGAATAGCCTGTATGAAAAAGGAGAAAGTAAAAGATGTAAAGACAAGTCTAGGATAATGAAAATACTGAGTGATGACTAGGTGTGGTGCTTGGACTCAACCTTTCTGAATTCAGATCCATTCATTCGCCTCACTTCCTGGTGCTAATCCATTGCAAACCACTCACTTTTATATCAACTCTTTCATCTGTATATCCACGTCAGTGACTGTCCTTGCTTATAAATATTTTTGGAAAAAATAGAGTGACTTAATTCACAGGGGGCACATAGTAAACACCAAAGAATACCACAATCATTAGAATAGTAATCAAGACCAACATATAAAAACAAAATTGAAGATGGTAAATCTTCTTACAAATCGTCTGCCAGACTGCAGCCTATCTGTCTCTGTCTCCATCTCTCTCAATTGTGGGCTGGAAGATGAAGCCCAGGTTGGCAGGGGGAAAAAAAATCACTTTTCAGTTTTCTTTAAATGAGCTCCAGAGGGCTTTTTTCCTTGGCCACTACTATTTACTCTGGCATTCAAAAATTAGAAATAAGAACTATTAGCAAACCCCCCAAATCACATGGGCAGTAATAGAATAAAAATCTTCCAAGATTCCATCGCCTGCTTAGGCCTTAAATCCAGAAGCATCCCCTGACCTCCTTTTAGCCCTGACTGATGACCGTGGAGATATTTCAGCCTGCAGTTCTTTGCTCACTACAGCCTGTCTGAGTTTGTTTTGCCCAGACTATTTTTGCTCACATGGTTGTTCTCAGCCACAGACATTCAGATGGAAACCAGAGAGATCCAAATACTCCAGAGGAACCTATAAACAAATGTAGGAAGAAGCCTCCAGTCTGACCATGGCGCCCACAAAAGTTTCTGTAGACAGAGTAGAAAGGGCTGGGAAGCCAGACTCTACTACTTGAGAACTTGCCTAAGTCTTTCTGAGATATTTTAGATATTTCATTATGTGCTACTGGTTTGGAAGGGGGGACACTCAAAGCAGTAGATTGGAAAGAATTTTATTAAGTTGTGTGTGTGTGTGTGTGTGTGTGTGTGTGTGTGTGTGTGTCCAAAGATTCCCTTTTAGGGGCCTAGAAAAGCCATGTTCCTACAATTCTGTGTTTACAAATTGGGCCTTATTTCACTGTTTTAAATTAAAGGTTAGGCCAAAAAAAAAAGTCCTTAGGTTAACAAATTTACAGAAAAGCAACAGTGTAAAGTAAGAAGTTTTTTAACTAAGAAAAGAAATGGTTGTATAAATACTCCAAACATTGTCTAAATGATGTATGTTTGGGGATCAGTAAGTACCAACAACCCCAGCTGGTAAATATGCAAACATCATTAACAGAAACAGAACTCTTAGCAATTTTATAGATCTCAGAAACATGTAAGTAGACACTGTACAGGGCTATTTAAACTACTATTTCTCCAAAAGTGTTGGGTTTTTCTTCACTCCTCCCCACACCATCCCCCATTGGTCCAAGAGCAGAAAAAAGAAAAAAAAAAGTAATACAAAACAAGGAAAGGAGGGGACCTAAAATGAGACGCTTATCTGGCAAAGTCCTCTAAGCAGAACATGGACTGAACTTACCCGCTGTTTCATTCATCACAGTCCTGGGTCATTTTAACTTATCAGCTTCTTGTCACCTTAGAAGATTTCCAGCCAGAAGCCCTCCAACTCTCACATCTACACAAAGACACTCAGTGAGACCTGGGGCTCCCGTGTCCTTATGGAAGGAGAAAGTTGAGCCAGTGAATCTGAACAAATAAAAACAAACTTAAAAACCCCATGCAATAGCAGTAAGAAAACTAGAAGAAATCCTCGCTTTCACAAATCGCCAGATCTGTGTCTAACTGGATCCTCTAAGACAACCTAGAAATTGACGTGCTGCCTGACAAAACAAAATCAGGTTATAGAACATTTTCACCTTTTCGCCTTCCAACGAATTGCTTGTTTTCCCATCTGAACAATAACCTTATTGTTTGCACTGAAGTACAGTACATGACTAGTCATGTTAGGAAGTGAATGAATTGTTGTGCTGTCAACATGATTTTTTTCCCACATACCTATTATATCTAGGAATTCCTTCCAAAGTTAGAAACTGAGGAAAAGGCACACTGCTTTTATCTACTCCCATTATCCAGTGACATTTAGGCTAAGGTTATTTAACAATGTGAAATATTAATAATAAGTCACCAGACTTTGACAAAAAAACAACACTATGTATTGTTGAGAAGTCTGGTGAGAATTTGATCTATCAGATTTTTGCATGTTTTATGTAAGCTTGCTTTACAGCAATCTGAAAGTCTCAGTTTACTTGCCAGTACAGAGGAGATGAAGGTATAAAGGTTTGGGCCTGATATGAGACACACCTGTTCATCCCCTTCCCTCTTTTGTCTCAAAGCACTTAGCAACTCAGGAGTCTACTGACAAAAAAGTAGGGGTATCAGACATCCAGCTAGGTCTAGTCTGGACACTCCTAACATTTCGTTAAACTGAAAAACCTAAACAAATCAGACATTTTCATTGTAAATTAGGAAAAAGATCATTCCAGTTGATAATGTCTGATATATATATATATATATATATATATATATATATATATATATATGCTGAGGTGATGATTTCACATTCTTCCAAGCATGGCACAGACAGAAAAGCAGTCGTGTCCACTTACCCTGCTCCTTTACTCACTGATGGTCATAGAGAACACATCAGACAGTCTGAGGAACTAGCACAGGCAGCGGGGGCAAACGAGGTCCCGTGTGACATCTAATCCCAGCCACAGTCAAGGCTGAGTCTGCACTAATTAACACTGCAACACCCTACATGTACAAGTCAAGTTCCCCACAAAATTTTTACCACCCAGATTAGCCAGACATTAGTATGTGCACGTCATTTTATCTGCTCTTTATCCTATATTTCTGCTTGTCTCTATTTGCTTCACATTTCAAAGGAATGATGCAGCATAAAAAAATACATCTTAGCCTCAGGTCTTTGTATGCTCGGGATTCTAGGGCCAGATCAGATTTATGGCGAGACTGCCACATACATGCATAAAAATGCTTTTTTGAACTCTTGCTGATATCCAAACATAAATATTGTGTAATGATTCTTAAAGGCAAATAAAATCTTTCAACCTTATTATTCTTCTCCTGATTGAGGGACAGGAATGCATCAGAACCAGATGCTTGTATCCACCTCATGTTCCCATCCATCCACCAGGCTAGTCTCAGCATGTTCTCAGGACAAAGGCAGAGGCATCCCGCAGGAGGAGGAATCCCGCAAGCACAGGTGATTTCAAGCCTCTGTGTGTCCTCTCTGATAGCATCTTCCTGCCCAACACTAGTTACATGGCCACAGTGTCAAGGGGCAGGGAAGTAGACCCCATTACCCTCTATGCCAATAGATGTGCAAACAAGGAGGGGAAGACCTGAAGTCCTGATACACTGACTCTGCCATCTTCATAGAAGCAGACAGCAGTAGATGACTACAGAGACCCAGAGATAGTTTATACCTAAGACAAAACCAGAATCCAGGTCTGTGGACTTACAATTTTTTTAAATGATATCCATTGTCTTTATTTGACAAAAATACAACAAAAGGACCATAAAGTATTTTAGTATTATCAAATGTAACCCTTACTTTCTGAAACAGTGCCTAAGTACACTGTATCTATAAAATATATTTGAACAACTTCAAATCAAATGTGAAAATGTGATTCTCTACCTGCAGTTTCAGGAATTAAGATTTTATGCTCTTATAGGTCATACTTCAAGCCAGGAAAGCATCTCATAAAGAGAAACAAAAAATGTGATGGTTGGGGAAGTCTACTTAGAGCTGTCAGATTTAGCATATAAAATTACAATATGCCACTTAAATCTGAATTTTATAAACAAATACTGACTTTTAGAATTTTACAGTTTTTACAGGGAAATATTCTTATGCTAAGAATCAATTATCTATCTGAAATTTAAATTTATTTAACTGAGTTTTCTCCTCTCTTTTACCTGGCAACTTCATGAGTCTACTAAGATATTTAAAATACATGCAAACTATAACTAAGAACAAGCAAGCTGTATAGACATATATAAAACAATAATTGTTCTTAAAGATTTTTTCAGAGAATTACTATAAATATGGAGAATAAAGATGCTAATTTCATAATGAAGATTACTGTATATAGTATATTATGTATGGTATATTTAGTGTCATCCACAATAAAATTTTCCACAAAACTATATAAAGAAATATTAGGATTTTATATTTCAGATACTGTTTGGATAAGTGGGAATCAAAGCTTACAAATAATGCAGTTACTAACATTCTACAACTGTCAGGTGTCAATGGTCTAAAAAGTGAAGCTATAGATCTGGACTCTATGTAGAAGCTAATAGATTTTTATTGGCACAGTAGAGAAGCAGAGGCAAAGGAGAGAAAAAGAAAGAAACAAAGAAAGAAAAAAGCCTTTAGTGAGGACAAGGCAGGTTGCAGGAGAGTGCAAGATTCCTCCACGGGACAAAAAAGCAGCAGGCTATTTGGTTTGACAGGGGTGGAGTTTGAAGGGAAGATTGACAGCTGATTGAAGGAATGCCAGCACACTCACGAAAAGCAGGAAGTTCAATTTTGGGCTTGGGGGAAGAACATGGAAGTCAGTAATGAAGGGACAGGATGTCACTCCATGGCCCAGCGTCTTGTTGGGCAGGTGCCACGCTGAGCTACATAGGGTGGAACCCATCAGAAGCCACTCTCCCACATGGTAAGTAGATGTAAAGGACTTGGATAGTTAGCGAGCCCAATCATTCCTTCTCAGTGTCTTTCAGAGAGTTCCACCGACAAGGAAACAGCACCCAGTTGATTGGTTCCATGCACACTGCTCCTGGGAACCCAGCCACAAAGCCTAAGATTGCCACACAGAACCCAGCATTTGAGGGCTAAGAGGCAATGGCTGGCTGAGGAAATCCACAACTATAAAACCAATTAATAAGCAAAGTTAAAAACTTACAAATAACATAGATGTAAAATATTTGTCATGATCTGAATTGGTAGCCATTTGAATTACTGTTGGTCTAGTTGAATCCACAGCTGTTAGTGGAAAGGAATTTTTTTTAAAAATCTTACTTTTAAATCTAGCCAAACTATCTGTTAGAGCTGGTTCCCATTAAATGTTTGTTAATTCAATTTATAAAATCCAAAGTCCAAGGGCCACCTCTGTCTGCTGTACACAATAGGCACTGTATATATTCAGACTGGCCCTCGGCCAGTATATAGTGTCGTACAGACTGGGATCTTGTATGTAAACACTGTTTGAATCTCTGATAATCGAAAATTTTTAAAAATTGTTATGGCTTCAATATCCTTATAATGCAAAATAAATATTGAACTTCCTGTGTGCAGTTCCTGTGTTGAGGCTGTGGGCCTTCTTTTTGACTGAGTGTGAATAGGGGTTTGTTTTAGCATTTTCATTAAGTCCAAGTTTCCCTTTCCACTAGGAAGAGAGAAGAAGTTGATGGTGAGGGAAAATCGCCTCTCTAGACTAAGTTTTATTGTCTTTTCACTGGACCAGTATATCACATTTCATAAAATTTCTCATATTGTGCTTATTTCTAAGTTAAATATTGAGTATGTATAAGTGCTCCCCAAAGGATCTTTTGTCAAATCCTATAATTATAGGCAAAGCAAATTTAAAAATAGGCATAAATAAGAAGTGGCATTATTTAGTGGATAAACTACAATCCAAGACAAGAATTGACTAGTGCATTTATTAATATGTACTGTAAGAAAAATACTAAAAGAAAAAATAAGAGAGAAAGATGTTCTTTCTATTTCCCTGGTTTTCATTCATTCTGTAAGTATCTACCACACAAGCCTATGCCTCTCTCTGCCCACAAGTAGTCAGAAAATGAGAGATGCTGACATTGACTCTCTCACTTAACCAGCTAAGAAGTCTTCAGGGAGTATCTTCCAGGTACTTTGCACTGTGATAGAATGGAGGACAAAGACCAAAAGTAAGATTCTCCAGTAGGTGACAGTGCCCTTATACACTTCCCACACTGGCTTTTCCCATTTGCAAAAATCCATCTCCTACTTGCCATGTAGAAGTCATTAGTCAGCATGGATCTCAGTGATGGCTATGGTAAAAAATGGCTAAAGATAAAGGCAAAATCTCACTCATCCTTTTTGTTCAAGAATTATGCATCAAATACTTACCATACTTCTGTTGCTTGGGTCATTCTTTGCTCTAGTTAGGCTTGGTGGTGCATACCTACAATTCCAGGAAACTGAGAGGTTGAGGCTGAAGGATGGAAGATTTGAACCCAGTTTGGACAGACCTTGTCTCAAACTTTGGGTGGAGAGTGGGGATGAAGTTCAGTGTGAAAGCCTTAGGTTAAATCCCTAACATCTCTATGAAAAATAAAAAAAAGAAGAGGGAGAAAAAGAGAGGTAAGGAGGAAGAAGGTAGAGAAGTGGAAAGAGGAGAGGTGAGTAGAGGAAAAGAGAGGGAGAGGGGAGGGGTGTGCACTGTTTTTAAATAGCTTCAACTGGAAAAGATAAGTACTCTACCAAAGAGCCAGCTACTAGTCCTCAAATGTAGGACACAAGTAAAAGATTAAAAATCAGAGTGGATGTTTGCTATAATGTAAAACAAATAACAATTTAGTGTACTGTTTGTTGTTGTCGTTTGGTGCTCAGTTTTGTTTTATAGTGTGATATTCTATGCATCTCACTTAATTTCTAGTCCAGAATGTCAGTCAGGTATGGGGAGAATGTGGTTCTGTTGATGAAAAACTTATCTGGATTGAATATGCATGTGGACCTCATTCCTATTAAAATGAGAAACTTTATTTAGCCAGTGAATATGAATTTTTAAAAATTCT